TTTTTTTTGAGACAGAGTTTCGCTCTTGTTACCCAGGCTGGAGTGCAATGGCGCGATCTCGGCTCACCGCAACCTCCGCCTCCTGGGTTCAGGCAATTCTCCTGCCTCAGCCTCCTGAGCAGCTGGGATTACAGGCACGCGCCACCATGCCCAGCTAATTTTTTTGTAGCTTTAGTAGAGACGGGGTTTCACCGTGTTGACCAGGATGGTCTCGATCTCTTGACCTCGTGATCCACCCGCCTCGGCCTCCCAAAGTGCTGGGATTACAGGCTTGAGCCACCGCGCCCGGCTTTTCCTTCATTTTTTATAAAAGTAATACATGCTCAGAAAAGAAGTAGATTTACCATGAATAAGTAAAGCTTCCTTGCATGGCTTCCTCTGAGAGAGCCCTCACAATTTAGTATTGGTAGTTTTATGTTTTTTTTATTAACCAGGTCTCCACAAAACCTGAATCACCTCTAGTTTGGAGTTTATAAAATCATATAAGATTTATAGGCCAGGCGTGGTGGCTCACGCCTGTAATCCCAGCACTTTGGGAGGCTGAGGAGGCGGATCACCTGAGGTCAGGAGTTCAAGACCAGCCTGCCCAACATGGTGAAACCCCGTCCTTACCAAAAAAAAAAAAAAAAATTAAGATTTATAAATGAAAACAGCAGTGCCTGTTCTGCCCCCCTCCCTCCTCACTCATTCCTACTTTAAACTCTTTTAGTCATTTCTTTTGGTATTTACTTCCATAATTAATTATAAGTAGCATGCTCCTTGAGGCATAACTTGATGTTTTAATTTTGGGTACTTATTCACCTCCTATAGAGAGGATAAAGCATTAGGTCTCATCCTCTTATGCATGCATACAGATGTAACTCTTCCTGTCTTCCCAATGCCATAACCTTATGTTAAATTCAGTTTTATATTCTCACTACGCAAACAGTATTCATAACTAAACTACTCTGCTACAGCCAGAATATACTATAATTACGTTTGCTTTCTTGAACAAGTTTTTGTTTTCTTTGAAAAACTGCCTCATTTTTTTCCATTGATGAATTTTACATTATTATCTATGACTAATTTATCCTCAAATGCTCTGACAGTTCAACCACATCAGGTAATCTCTCAGTTCTTTGTTTTTTTCTTGCACAGATATCCCTCCTGTAGCCCTACGCCCTTTTGTTCCAATATAACTTCTAGTTCCATTAACACAGTGATTGTCAATTAGGGATAGCACCTTCCTTCCAGGGGGTGTTTGAAAATAACTAGGGTAGAGGAGTTTTTTATTATCACAAGGCCTCAAAGCCATTATTGGCATTTAGTGGGTGAGAGGCAAGGGATGTTAAATATCTTGCAATGTGTGGGGAAGTCCCACAGAATGAAGAACTGTGCCCCCCAAGTTCCTCAGTGAGAGCAGCACTCTCACTGAGGAAGCTCCTGTAGTTCATCCAGCCTTCTCATTTCAAAGCCCTCACTCATGTTGTCCCTCTCCTGGAAAGCTCTTCCTCCACCCTTCAGCTGGCCATCACCTATTATCACTTCTTCAGGGAAGCACCCCTTGACTTTCCAGGATACCTAAGATTCCCCTATTACAAACTTTCATAGCAAATTACACATCTTCTTTGTAACACCTATCACAACTGTATGAATTATTTATGTAATAATTTCTTGACCTTCTAGCTCCCCTAATAGACTATATATAAGCTCCACAAGGGAAGGGGAATCTTGTTCAGTGCTATATCCCCAGGGCCTAGCACAGATTCAGGTGCTCAGCCAACATCTATCAAAGGAATGAAATCTTGATATATCACTCATACTCACACACATATATATATATCCCTTCATGCTCACAGACATCCGTTTTGATTTTCTTTAGCTTAACACAGGTTAACACAAGAACCAGGCTATGGCAATTCTTTCCAGTATATTTCTTACTTTTCTATCAGGTTTACTAGTGGTCTTGATGGCAGCAGCGGCCCATCTGGAGTGGCTGCTGCAAAGATGCCAGCTGCAGCAGGGGGGGTACAGCGAGGGCTGCACGCTCTGCTAGCTGGCGGGAGCCAGGAACAGGCAGGAGCTCTGCCCCCTTCCGAGTTGGTGGGACAGAAGCCCCGCACTCCCACAGCTGCAGCTTCCCAGCTGTGGCTGTAGACCTGGGCATCCCTGCACTCTCAGGGGTCCAGGAAACAGGACAACCTGTCCTCAGACAGAAGCTACCCACTCCAGGTTTCCTCTCCATGGAGGGCTGCAGAGACAATGGGACAACCTGCATGCAGATAGGCATTACCCACTTCAGATCTCCTGAGTTGTACTGTTGCTCAATAAGGCATCTCTTCATCTTGTTCTCCTTCCAGCTGTCCATGTACTTTTTTCTTCCTGGACATGGGACAATAACTTGGGACCCGCTAAATAGAAGGACTGAAAGGGCAGTGACACAAATAGGGCTGAAACATGCCCCTCACTTGCCATATTGCAGGTGTTGAGAAGGAGAGAAGAGAGAAGGAGTAAAGAGCTGTGGCCTTTTGGGGAGCCCAGCCTCAGGAGTTCCCTAAGCTAGGGCTGTGACACCCTCTTTGGGGTTCTGCAGTTCCTGACATCTCTAGCTTCTGAGTGCCACTGCGTTCCCCAGTGCCTGTAGTGGGAGCCGCTTAGGGAATGCCTGGTCTAGCTGCAACAGGGAGCTGATACCTGGAGCTGCCCACCCTGCCAGAGCCAGCATGCCTGGCTGTGCCCAGTGGCCAGACACTGCACTCACTCACACACTTCTCACTGTTCCACACCTGGCTTGCCTTTAGCAGGTGTGGGGTCCAGCCAGTAGTGAAAGCCAAGCACAGCCAGCCAAAATCGTAGGTAGAATGAGCCCAGCAAGCCTGAGCAAATCTCAGGCAAAGGTGCCATTGGCCACAGAGGTTTCTGGCTAGCAAAGTGACACCCTAAGAATCCCGTGACAATCTAACATCACCTTGTTCTGCTGCCTTGCTTACTATGGAATAAAGACTGGTATGTGCGTTCCAAATAGGAATTCCTGGTTGAAAGTATCTCCCTGCAGTTGCCCAAATGCTAATTCTATAGTTTTCCTGGCTTTACAGAACATAAACTCCCTTTCCTGAAAACACAGCAACTCAGTTAAGGCCCTTTTTCCTCACCAATATTTATTATGCCTGTTTTTCAGATTTCTCATAGAGTTAGCCCTTTTTTGGTTTTCTTTAAAAAAAAAATAAGCTTCCTTTTTTATTTTTATTTTTTTACTATTTATAGTGTGCTATTATTCCTCAACTCTTTTAGTGTGTGTAGCAGGGTAGCCTTTATTCCAGAAAACTAAACGAAGCTCCCCTCAACTCCATTTAATAACAACTTTTAACCTGTGTTCTCCTTAATATGTTCTGTAGTATCCATAGAGGGCCTTTCAGTCTCTCATTCTAAGTCATTATTATTTATTATTATTTTTGAGACAAGGTCTCACTAAGTTGCCCAGGCTAATCTGGAACTCCTTGGCCGCCCACATAGCTGGGACTATAGGCATACACCACTGCACCCAGCTCATTCTAAGCCATTCTTATTCTAGAAAGTCATATCCACCTAGAATATTTGATCTTCTCAGTATAAACATCAGTACATCTCAAATTACATTTCAGTTACTCTGGTTATGTAAGACAAGAAGTTCTCATTTTTATGTTGTTTTTATCTTGCTTTGTTTACTTATTTTTCCTTTATTGTCTGTTTCTTTTTTGCTTGTTTCTTTTAGGAGGTTCTTACTTTTACATGTTTGGAGAGTGTTTACTTTTTCTTTTTAAAATCATGATCCTGGGCGGGCGCGGTGGCTCACGCCTGTAATCCCAGCACTTTGGGAGGCCGAGGCGGGTGGATCACAAGGTCAAGAGATCGAGACCATCCTGGTCAACATGGTGAAACCCCGTCTCTACTAAAAATACAAAAAATTAGCTGGGCATGGTGGCGCGTGCCTGTAATCCCAGCTACTCAGGAGGCCGAGGCAGGAGAATTGCCTGAACCCAGGAGGCGGAGGTTGCGATGAGCCGAGATCGCGCCATTGCACTCCAGCCTGGGTAACAAGAACGAAACTCCATCTCAAAAAAAAAAAAAAAAAAAAATCATGATCTTTAAAAAATAAACAAACAAAACCAAAATCATAACCTCAATCTGAACCTTTCAATACTGGTATTCTGTATTTAATGGGAGATGTCTTAACCTAGGGTGCCTTGACTGTATTGTTGGGTTTCGAGTATCTGAACTTCAATATTTATCTGTGTATTTACTGGGCATTACCATAGTTTTCAAGAGATTCTTAAGGGAGTCTATGACCAAAGAGATGATAAAATCATTGCTACACTGTTAGCTTATAAGATGACAGTGACCCTGAAAAACCAAGATATTATCAAATAAAAGTTACCTACTTTCTGCATTATACTTGGAGTTTTTGGATACCCTCCTTTGAGCTTCCGGGTCTCCTTCAGCCATATTCACCAACCACACCATTGTTGCTGTTGAGAAAGACAAAATTCCAGGTAAGCACTGGACACACAAAGGAAAATGTATGCACAGACAACAGCAGGCCATCGTTTCTCCACACAGATCGCCAATCTTCCTAATGCTGCCTTAAGACTGTTTAACAATCAGAAGTAAAAATGATAGGGAGTCGTGGGTCCAGCCACGTTCAGAGCACGAGAGGCTCTGGGAGCTCAGCGAGGCTGCAGGCGCCTGCGGCCACCGGCAAACAACATAGGCTGCTCTGGCTTGGGACCCCTAGGCAGGACCACCATCCTCTCCAGAATGAAGACCCTGCTGGTGCTGCTGGCTGCCCTTCTGGGTGCTGAGCGAGCCAGCTCACTGATGTGCTTCTCCTGCCTAAACCAGAAGAGCAATCTGTACTGCCTGAAGCCCATCATCTGCTCCGACCAGGACAACTACTGCCTGACGGTGACTGCATCCGCTGGCATCAGAAAGATCGTCACATTTGGCCACACCCTGAGCAAGTCCTGTTCCCCGGCCTGTCCCCTCCCAGGAAACATCAATACTGGTATAGCTTCCATGGCCATCCGCTGCTGCCAGGGTTTCCTGTGCAATTTCAGCGCAACCGACGGCAGGCTGCGGCCCAGCGCCACCCTGCTGGGTGCCGTACTGCTGCTGAGCCTGTTGCCTGCCCTGCTGCATTTTGGCCCCTGACCGCCCAGATCCTGTCCCCGGCCCCCCAGCTCAGGAAGCAAAGCCCAGCCCTTTCTGGATCCCAAAAAGATATGAGAGCCCCTGACTCCTCACGTGCCTGATTCGTGCCCTTGGTCCCGGGTCAGGCCCACCCCCTGCACCTCCACCTGCCCCAGCCCTGCCTCTGCCCCAGGTGGGGCCACCTGCCCTCACTTCTGGGGTCGATGATGTGACCTTCCTTGGGGGACTGTGGAAGAGATGAGGGTCCCCTGGAGTCTTAGGGTCCAGCGTCAGGACCAAGTCCCGTGGACACACAGAGAGAGCCGCCAGGGAGGCTGTGCCAGTAGAGATGTGTGCCCGTGGGGGGTACGTGGGTGTGCTGTGCAGGTGTGAGCACATGGCAGTTTCTGGGGCCTGTGTTTGGGGAGGGAGGGGGGCCAGCAGCCTGCAGAGCCCCAGTCCCCTATAGCCCCCTGCCCTGGCACAGTCTCACGCCCTTCAAGAGCAGCCTTTTGGGGGTGGGGTTTCCATGGCTTCCAGGTCTAGGCCCCCGCCCCAAATCCAGCCAGCCCTGCCCCAGCCCACCCCCATATTGGAGTCCTACTGCTTCGGTGCCTCAAATAAATACAGATGTCCCCCCCCACAAAAAAAAGTAAAAATAATAAAAGGTTCTTTTTTGTTTTAGCAGATAAAAGAAAAAGTTCTGAAACTGAATGTTTACTGTAGTGCTCAAACAGCATTTGCTATCACAAAACTGTTCATCATCATTTTTAGTCCCTGAAAAGTAACCAGAAGGAAAACTGCTCAGGCCAGCAAGATTCCACTGAAACAACAGTGGGACTAGTTTAATGTTCTAAACTCCAGGACAAAGTGGAGCTCACAAAAGCCTCAGATGGAAATTATAATTCAAAAGATGCACGGAATAAATTTCCTTCATATTATGTCTCACTTTTAGAATGTTCAATAATGCTAAGCCGTGTTTTAAACATGGAGTAAGAAAAAAAGTTAAAAGCAGTAAACATAATAGGGATAGTCAAGTGGCCTCCTCTGTGTCCCTTCTACAAAGATACATGTATATCAATATATCAACCCAGATCTAGATACACACGTGTGCATCTCTACCACATTTTAGCTCAGAGACCGTGGGAAAACTTGAAAATGGTGCTTCTCTCTTACATATTTCAGGCAGGACTGAAAAATGGTATAGTCCCCATTGGAGGGAAATTTAGTAACATCTTGTAAAACTACACATGCAATAACCCTTTAATCTGGCAATAATACATTTTGGAACTTATCCTGAAGATACATCAACAATAACACAATAATAAAGTACATATAAGCAAACACATGCCATATGGGGCTACGGTGGGAACCAAATGCCAGCAGCAATCTGAGTCGAATCTGTTTATAGTAATTTTAAACAAGATACTTGGCATTTATGTCCCTCTGGCCTTTTATCACTATAATTTTATCCATGTTTCTAATACGCAGGCTTCTTGAAGAACTTATGAAAGAAATGCACAAGCAAAGAAGCTGAACCACTGCCTTGTTATTTCTGAGGTCAACCAAGTTTCATTATAGAATAACCCAACCAAATGATCAAAAGTTAATAGAAACAAGACAGGGAAAACACTGTTTAACTAAATCCAGATCTAAAGAAGAAAAACTGAAGGGCAACCACCATGTATGAGGTTTATGGATTTGTATTTTTATTTTTTGTAAAAACAGGGTCTCACTATGTTGCCCAAGCTGGACTCAAAACTCCTGGGCTCAAGCAATCCTCCCGCCTCGGCCTCCCAAAGTGCTAGGATTACAGGCATGAGCCACTGCACCCAGCCTGTTTATGAATTTCTATAGCATTCTGGAAATGAAGTCAGCAGCAATTTATTTGTTTTTCTTTCTTTATGCAAGTATGAAAAAAATATAGCTGTAAGCCCTTTTGTTTTAGCATTTAATAGTATCATGAAAATCAACATTTTCTGTAAATGGCCAGGCAGTAAACAATTTAGGTTTTGTGTCACATATTCTTGTTTTTTTGTTTTGTTTTGTTTTTAAATAACCTTTTAAAAATGTGAAAGCATTCTTAGCTTATAAGCTGTACAAAAACAGGCCATGGGCTACATTTGGCTTCAAGCAGTAGTTTGCTGACCCCATGGTAATTATCATAAATAGTATATTTGTTGAAGAAATAGTACTAAAATAATCTTTTTGAGATCGAGTGTTGCTCTGTCACCCAGGCTGGAGTGCAATGGTGGCTCACTGCAACCTCTGCCTCCTGGGTTCAAGCGATTCTCCTGCCTCAGACTCCCGAGTAGCTGAGATTACAGGTGCATATCACCACACCCAGCTAATTTTTTGTATTTTTAGTAGACACAGGGTTTCACTGTGTTAGCCAGGATGGTCACGATCTCCTGACCTTGTGATCCACCCACCTCAGCCCCCTTAAGTGCTGGGAATATAGGCATCAGCCTCGGCGGCCAGCCCCTAATATAATATTTTTAAAAATCACTTTTCTTTCACTTTAACACCAAACACCTCATATCAGTAGAAAAATAAGCAGATTTTTTTTTAAGTTAAAAAAAAAAAAGAGGCTGGGGGCAGTGGCTCACGCCTCTAATCCCAGCACTTTGGGAGGCCAAGGCAGGTGGATCACCTGAGGTTGGGAGTTCAAGACCAGCCTGACCAACATGGCAAAACCCTGTCTCCACTAAAAACACAAAAATTAGCTGGGTGTGGTGGCAGGTGCCTATAATCCCAGCTACTCAAGAGGCTGAGGCAGGAGAATAGCTTAAACCCAGGAGGCAGAGGTTGTAGTGAGCCAAGATTGTGCCATTGCCCTCCAGCCTGGTGCTGGTGGCAGGTGCCTGTAATCCCAGCTACTCAAGAGGCTGAGGCAGGAGAATAGCTTAAACCCAGGAGGCAGAGGTTGCAGTGAGCCAAGATTGTGACATTGCCCTCCAGCCTGGGCAGTAAGAACAAAACTCTGTCTCAAAAAAATAATTTTTTTTTTGCTTTTAATGTAGCCTAGGCTGATCGTGAACTGCTGGGCTCAAGCAATCCTCCTGCCTCTACCTCTCAAAGTCCTGGGATTACAGGCATACCTGGCTATAAAGTATTGCAGATTTAAAAATTAATACAACCTTTAACTGAGACAAAATCAAAGAAAAAGCTTTAGGTAAAATGATCTCTCTCGGCCGGGCATGGTGGCTCACGCCTATAATCCTAGCAATTTGGGAGACCGAGGCAAGTGGATGACGAGGTCAAGAGATCGAGACCATCGTGGTCAACATGGTGAAACCCTGTCTCTACTAAAAATACAAAAATTAGCTGGGCATGGTGGCATGCGCCTGTAATCCCAGCTACTCGGGAGGCTGAGGCAGGAGAATTGCTTGAACCCAGGAGGCGGAGGTTGCAGTGAGCCGAGATTGCGCCATTGCACTCCAGCCTGGGTAACAAGAGCAAAACTCCATCTCAAAAAAAAAAAAATGGTCTATCTCAAAGAATTGTTATTTTCCCTTCTAGTTAAGCTACCAGAGTAAACTGCCTTTACCAATGCCTACAAGGGAAGAATGAATTAGTTCAAAGAGTAGGTGTATATTTTTTGTCAAACGACAGAAGTAAAAAACCAAAAATGCTCATACATTTCCTGTTAGTAAGAGTATTTTGCAAACTGAATACCCTTAACTGGGAAACAGTATTAAAATCCATAAAAGAATTATATTTATTGATTTTTAGAAAACAAATAGCCAGGATGACTGATTTAAAACTTTTCATATTCATGTTTATATCCACTTCAGGGAAAAAGTACTGACTGGTATTGCTGTTTTCTTACATTCTGTTAAAAAAAACAAAACAAAGTCTGGGTGCAGTGGCTCATGCCACTATAATTCCAGCACGTTGGGAGGCTGAGGCAGTCAGATCACTTGAGGTCAGGAGTTCAAGACCAGCATGGCCAACATGTTGAAACTCTGTCTCTACTATAAATACAAAAAGAAAAACCTGCCAGGCATGGTGGCAGGCATCTGTAATCTCAGCTATTTGGGAGGCTGAGGCAGGAGAATCACTTGAACCCAGAAAGCAGAGGTTGCAGTGAGCTGAGATCGCACCACTGCACTCTAGCTTGGGCAACAAGAGGGAAGCTCCGTCTCAAAAAAACAAAACAAGGCCGGGCGCGGTGGCTCACGCCTGTAATCCCAGCACTTTGGGAGGCCGAGGCGGGTGGATCACGAGGTCAAGAGCTCGAGACCATCCTGGTCAACACGGTGAAACCCCGTCTCTACTAAAACTACAAAAAATTAGCTGGGCATGGTGGCGCGTGCCTGTAATCCCAGCTACTCAGGAGGCTGAGGCAGGAGAATTGCCTGAACCCAGGAGGCGGAGGTTGCGGTGAGCCGAGATCGCACCATTGCACTCCAGCCTGGGTAACAAGAGCGAAACTCCGTCTCAAAAAACAAAACAAAACAAAACAAAACAAAACAAAACCTCTCAAATTCAGTGATTTATAAAATCCTCACAAGACATTTAGTATTGCAAAAGAACAGATGCATTCTTCACCCTACCTGATCTACATCGGAGATAAAGGTTTATACTCCTATTTTCCCACATATGTTGAATTGTTTTTAAAATATCTCAGAATGTCTTATGTTCTGTGGTCATTAAATAGGCTTGAGAGCTTTTCAAAAAACATATGCTCACCAGGCCAGGCACAGTGGCTCATGCCTGTACTCTCAGCACTTTGGGAGGCCTAGGCAGGCCGATCACAAGGTCAGGAGTTCAAGGCCAGCCTGACCAATATGGTGAAACCCCATCTCTACCAAAAAAAAAAAAAATAGTCACAAATCTTCCCTCTCCTTTAAACATCTTTCCTCAAACCTGTTCCCCTGTCAGGTCACCACCTGCTCTGCCTGTGAGACGGAAATCTTTGATGTAGTGCATGACATTTACTACTCTCCTTCTTCACCACCCATTCTCTGCCTACACCATCACTTCCACTGCCAGCACTGGCAAAACACAGACACATGCACCTTCCCTGTGGAATATTGCTTCTGGTCCTATTTCTCTACTGAACTTGCTCTCTTCAATGTCACTAATGACATGTTAGGCAGCAAATCCTGTATGGTTTACTTAGTCCTCGTTACCCTTTGACTTCTTCATCATATTTTATATTCTTTTATTTATTTATTTTTTTTGAGATGGAGTCTTGCTCTGTCACCCAGGCTGGAGTGCAGTGGCGCGATCATGGCTCCCTGCAACCTCCACCTCCTGGGTTCAAGTGATTCTCCCGCCTCAGCCTCCCAAATAACTGGGATTACAAATGTGCGCCACCATACCCAGCTAATTTTTACATTTTTAGTAGAGACGGCCTTTCGCCATGTTGGCCAGGCTGGTCTCAAACTCCTGAGCTCAAATGATCCGCCCACCTAGGCCTCCCAAAGTGCTGGGATTACAGGCATGAGCCACCACGCCTGGCCTCTCTCCTTGAAATTGGTTTTCCAATAACTCAACAGAAAAATAGGCCAAAAAAAAATCTATAAGAATATACAACAAACTGGTATCAGGAGTAAATACCTGATAAGGCATTAAGATTAAGGATGACAGTTACCACAAAATTTATTTTTATCTGTAATTTTTATCTTTTTTGAAGGATATTACTTGTATAAGATTAATTTTACAGGGCCGGTAGCGGTGGGTCACACCCATAATCCAAACACTTTGGGAGGCTGAGGCAGTTAGACCGCTTGAGACCAGCCTGGCCAACATGGTGAAACACTGTCTCTACTAAAAAGACAAAAATTAGACAGGTGTGATGGTACACGCCTGTAATTCCAGCTCTCAGGAAGCTGAGGCAAGAGAATCGCTTGAACATGGGAAATGGAGTTCGCAGTGAGTTAAGATTGGGTCACTATACGAGTGACAGAACGAGACCCCATCTCAAAATTTTAAAAAAGTTATTTTTTTGTCTATTAGATAACTCTCTCTCTTTCTCTCTCTCTCAGACACACATACATGTATGCACAGACACAGCAAGCAAGTATTAACAAAGGTATAAGGAAATTGGTTCTTTTTTTTTTTTTTTTGAGATGGAGTCTTGGTCTGTCATCCAGGCTAGAGGGCAGTGGCACAATCTTGGCTCACTGCAACCTCCATCTCCCGGGTTCAAGCCATTCTCCTGCCTCAGGCTCCGAAGTAGCTGGGATTACAGGCGCCCATCACCACACCTGGCTAATTTTTGTATTTTTAGTAGAGGGGGTTTGACCATCTTGACCAGGCTGGTCTCAAACTCCTGACCTCATGATCTACCCACCTCAGACTCCCAAAGTGCTGGGATTACAGGTGTAAGCCACTGTACCCAGCCGGAAATTGGTACTTCCAAATTACTGAAGAGAATGCGAACTGGCATAGCTTTTTTAGGAAGTAATTTAGCAAACTGTCAAAATTTAAATACATACATCCTCTGACTTAGCAATTCTACTCTAAGAATACATCTTATAATAACATTCACAAGTTCATGGATGTTCTCTCTAAGTGCTGTGATAGAAAAGAAATAGAAAAGAAATGGAAATGATCTAAATGTCTACCAATGAGGATACCCACCACTGAATATCTACGCAGGATAACACTATGCAGCCATTTCATGTGCTGACATCAAAAAAGTCATGATATTGTTAAGTGAAAAATACTGGCTTTCCCAATTTTCTGATATTTTCTTCTACTTCCTTTAGTATCTTCTCTTCATTGTCTCATTCTCTAAACAGAGCAGTTGACAAAGTGACCCTTGTCTTCCTCTTCTCTTCTGCTTTTATTTGAATTGCTCAACAGCTCACAGAGCGTAACTACCACCTCTCTGCTGATGTTCTTCAAGTCTGTATCTCGAATATCAACTTTTTCCCAAGTGCTAGTACTTCATTTCTAAACTTCTGCTAGAAATGTCTACCTCAGTGAACCACACACATACTGTCAACTAAATTAGATATGAACCACAAAAAGATATAAAACTAATCAGACCCCTCACACAAGAAAATGTGGTTAGGTGTGGTGGCTCATACCTGTAACCCCAGCACTTTGGGAAGTCAAGGTGGGAAGATTGCTTAAGCCCAGGAGTTCAAGACCAGCCTGGGCAACATGGCAAAACCCTGTCTCTACATAAAATACAAAAAATCATCCAGGCATGGTGGCATGTGCCTGTAGTCACAGCTACTCAGGAGGCTGAGGTGAGTGGATCACTTGAGCCTGGGAGGTTGAGGCTGCAGTGAGCCGTGATCATACCACTGCACTCCAGCCTGGGTGGGAGTGAGACCCTGTCTCAAAAACAATAATAAGAAAACACAGGAAAACATTTTTTCTTCCCCGCTTTCCTTCAAGCTTAAAACTTCTCTCCTCAGTTGCTAGAACTATTGATTCGACCTCTGAAACCTCCATTAACTCTTTCCCTTGATTGCTACTGCCACTACTGTAATTCAAGCCCTCATTACTTTCCACCTAGATCATGGCAATATCATCTTAGTTATGCTTAGTATGCCTCTCATGATCTCAGAGTCTACCCCACCAATTCATCTTACACAATGCTGCCAGCTTACAAAGGCACAGCTCTGCTCACATTACGTTTCTGCTCAACGATCTCAGTTCCTAAGGGATCTCTGAATAGCAGACAGACATCTAAACCAGTCACTTGAAGGAATCCTTGAGCTTGCCCTAATCGATAGCACCTAACAAGTTTTTAAATGGGAATGCTGGTTCCCCAGTATCTAAATATTTCTTTTCTTTCTATTCATATTGAACACTCTCTTGAATCAACATCAGGTAGAAGACAATCACCTGCAAGGAAACGGATCTGTAGGAGTTCCATGAATGCTGTGTATTTAAGATGAGAATAAGTACCATGAAAATGACCACAGGTACATGTGCTTCAGTTCCTATAAATTCTACACTGATTACTAATTCAACATCATTCTCAAATACTTACAGGAGTAAATGAGAGCTGGAAAAAGTGTTTCATTTCTCTCCTGAGCTGTTTCAACCAGCATACGAAGTGGACCTTTTGGACACAAAACAGCCACTAAATCTAGAAAAAGAAAAAGAGAAAAGACATCTGATAAAATGTATGGGCTCAACTTGTAAATGGGTGTTAGGAATTAATGAAGTGAAAACATTTAATGTTGTCTCTTTTTACACAAAAAGATGTTGAATTGATATGAAACAATGGCAGGTGAACTGGTAGGGGTGAGGGGGACCACCTAAACAAAATAAAATCACACAGAACAGCTGTAAAAATTTCATTTTGGGTTTGACTGCTATTTGCTTAGTGTGCAATGTCATTACTAGGTTCTACAAATAAGTCTTCCCAGTATAAAGGAAAGCTGCAGAGATGAGACTATTTTAGAGCAGTTGTCAACCTACAGTGAGCAGAAACAGAAAGAAGTCACTTCTAAACTAGTCACAGATATGAACTATAAAGAAAGATTACTTCAACAGGAATTTAATAAAAGGAATTCGACTGAACTTTTCAAAATATGAAGTGAATAGAAGAAACGCATCCCTTCTCCTTTTTAAAAGCAGTATTACGTATTACTGAGAAATACTTGAAATAAGAGGGCAGTTATTTTTTGATTTCTTCTTTGAGGAACCAAGAGGTCAATAAATTTAAATAAAACAAAATAGTAAGTCTTTGCAAGATAAAGTTTATTATTTCTTTACTCTCTGGTCAAATAAAAGAACTTCACAAATATTCAGGTCTCAGAACATATGTGGTGCTGAAAAGTAGCTTATTTTACAAAAATAGTAAATCAGAGAGGAAGCAATATACCTAAATTATTTCCATTTATATCACCATTTCTTTCCATCAACAGCAATTTTTCTTTCATTTTGTCATGAAAATTCAGCATATAAAAATATAATTTTAAACACTTAAAAAGATAAAACAGGTAAAAATATATAAATATATAAAATATATACATATATACACGTACACATGTATATATACATATATACACGTATATATACATATATGCATATGTACAGCTAAATATACCTATTTTAGCTGTACCTGTTTTATACATACACACACACATACATATATAAATATATATAAAACAGGTACAGCTAAATTTGTAAAGGAAGAATTGATAGCTTGTGTTGACACCACCCTGTCACTTAGTTGCATTTAAATTTGAAAACTTCATCCTTTGCCAGGCTAAATATGAACAGTGGTTCATATTTGTAATTCTAGCACTTTGGGAGGCTGAGGCAGCAAATCGCTTGCGCTCAGGAGTTCAAGACCGGCCTGGCCAAGATGGTGAAATACTGTCTCTACCAAAAATGCAAAAAAATTAGCAGGTCATGGTGGCAGGTACCCATAGTCTCAGCTACTCAGGAAGCTGAGGTGGGAGACTGCTTGAGCCCTGGAGGTAGAGGTTGCCGTGAGCCAAGATGGCACCACTGCACTCCAGCCTAGGTAACAGAGTAAGACTCTGTCTCAAAAAAAAAAAAATTCATGCCTTGAAGTGGTCACATCTCTTTGTATTTTATACATATAAAATTATATTTATAATATAGTACAGTAATAAAACATACACAAAGAAATCTCTACTTTCAACACTTCTACTTCAATTTGTTTGATTAAGTCTGCCCTGTTATGAAGTAATGAGATTTTTAGCTTGTTTGACTCTGCCACATCCTGTAACTATTTCAGTTTTATGATATGCTCTCCCTTTAATAATTGCTAAACGATACATTTGCTTATTTTTTTAGAGCGATTAAAATAAATTAAAATTGCTTTTGCTTTGAAAATTTCATAACTTTTATGACAAATTAAACCTTGAAACCTTGTAAAAATGGAGCTGAGAATCACTACTCTAAACATTGGGTACAACAACAATCTCATTTAAAAGGAACTTAAAGCTCTGTAGAGATACTCATGTATACTATGTGCAGACAGAATGGAAGGTTGACGGTAAAAAATACTGTAATATAGTGAAAAGAATATTGAACTAGGGATTCAGACTTGAGATCAGAGTTTAAGCTTGGGCAAATAATTTACATCTGTAAACTTCAAGTTTCTTAGTAGTCAAATAGGGATAATAACTATCTTGATACTTCACAGGGTTATTTAAAAATATAACACTGGGCTGGGTACAGTGCTTCACGCCTACAATCTCAGCACTTTGGGAAGCTGCCTGAGGCCAGGAGGTCAACACTAACCTGTGCCTGCAGTCCTGTCTACTCGAGAGGCTGAGATAGGACTGCTTGAGCCTAGGTTTTTTTTTTTTTTTTTTTTTTTTTTTTTGAGACGGAGTTTCACTCTTGTTACCCAGGCTGGAGTGCGATGGCGCGATCTCGGCTCACCGCAACCTCCGCCTCCTGGGTTCAGGCAATTCTCCTGCCTCAGCCTCCTGAGTAGCTGGGACTACAGGCACACGCCACCATGCCCAGCTAATTTTTTGTAGTTTTAGTAGAGACGGGGTTTCACCATGTTGACCAGGATGGTCTCGATCTCTTGACCTCGTGATCCACCCGCCTCGGCCTCCCAAAGTGCTGGGATTACAGGCGTGAGCCACCGCGCCCGGCCGAGCCTAGGTTTTTGAAGCTACAGTGAGCTATGATCACACCACTTTACTCCAGCCTGGGAGACAAAGTGAGACCCTGTTTCTTAAAACAGAAAAAATGTACTGATAGACACTGTTCTAAGTGTATTATTGTATTAAATGTATCATGTAATCTTCAAAACAAGAGACTTAGGGGTTGAGCAACTTGTCTGTGGTCAAATAGCTAGTAAGTGATGAGTAGGCTGGGCGCAGTGGATCATGCCTGTAATCCCAGCACTCTGGAAAGCTGAGGTGGGTGGATCATTTGAGGTCAAGTTCAAGACCAGCCTGGCAAACATGGTAAAACCCCATCTCTACTAAAAATACACAAATTAGCTGGGCAAGGTGGTGCACACCTGTAGTCCCAGCTACTCAGGAGGCTGAGGCAGGAGAATCGCTTGACCCCGTAAGGTAGAGGTTGGAGTGAGCGGAGATCATGCCATTGCACTCCATCTCAAAAAACAAAAAAAAGTGATGAGCAGAATCTGAACCCAGGCATTCTGTCTCCAGACCTGGCATTCTTAATCACAGCAAAGCAACAGATGGTTACTTTGCAAACCATCAAGTACTATACAACATAAGGTAATAAGGAAATCAGATAGAGAGCACATGACTTCTATAGTTCCACAACTGATTACTCAAATACAAGAACAGAACCAGTTCAATCCCATTTCCATAGACTTCGTCAATCAAATGAGGATGATCTTTCCAATTATAGGCCACCAAACATTTTAATAAGTATGTAATAGTGATAAAAGTGTATGGCCAGGCATGGTGACTCACACCTGTCATCCCAACACTTTGGAAGGCTGCGGTGGGAAGATCTCTTGAGGCCAGGAATTCCAGACCAACTTGGGAAACACAGTGAGATCTCATCTCTGTAAAAAAAAAAAAAATCTTTTTTTTTTTTTTTTTTAATTAGGCATGGTAGTGCATGCCTGTAGTCCTATCTACTTTGGAGGCTGAGGTGGGAGGATTGTTTTAGCCCAGGACAGTAATTTGAGGCTGCAATAAGCCATGATCATGCCACTGTACTCCACTGTGGGTGACAGAGAGAGAGAGATCCTGTCTCTGGAAGCAAAAAAAACAAAAACAAAAAGAGTATGACCATGGCCTTATAATATAAAAGAGGTCACATATCAGTCTCTGAAAATGAATCTCTTTGTGGCTTTCATACAGGACAATAGCCATAGAGTAGGTACCTAAACACTGCCTCGGTTAATGGCTGGCATACGTTCTGACTGTGCAGGACCCATGTCACACTGGTGGTTACAGAATTTGAATCTCACACTGTCCAAATCAGTTTTATGTTTAAAATAATAATTCCATACATTACCTTATATAAAGGAGGTAATCTAATTTCGATTTTAAAAGTAAAATGAGGCCAGATGCAGTGGCTCATATCTATAATACCAATATCTTGAGAGGCCAAGGCAGGAGGATTGCTTGAGCCCATGAGTTCAAGACCAGCCTAGGTAATATAGCAAGACCTTGTCTCTACAAAAAATAAAACAGCCAGGCATGGTGGTGCACACTTGTAGTCCTAGTTACTTGAGAGAGGCTGAAGTGGGAGTACTGCATGAGTCCGAGAGTTCAAGGTTGCAGTGAGCTATGATCATGCCACTTCAAACCAGCCTGGGTGACACAGAAAGACCTTGTCTCAAAAAAAAGAAAGAGAGAAAAGCTTATACAATAAGACATAAAAGAAAAAAAAATTTTTTTTAATGAATTGAGCATTTTGTGCATCTACCACTTCACTCTGCTTGTGTGTTTTTTGTTTTTTTGTTTTTTGTTTTTGAGACGGAGTCTTACTCTGTCACCCAGGCTGGAGTGCAGTGGCACCATCTCAACTTATCACAACCTCTACCACCTGGGTTCAAGCAATTCTCCTGCCTCAGCCCCTCAAGTAGCTGGGATTACAGGCACATTCCACCACAACCAGCTAATTTTTGTATTTTTAGTAGAGACAGGTTTCATCGTGTTGGCCAGGCTGGTCTCGAACTCCTGACCTCAAGTGATCCGCTCGCCTCAGCCTCCCAGAGTGCTAGTATTACAGGCATGAGCCACTGCACCCAAACCTGCTTGTGGTTTTTTTTTTTTTTTTTTTTTTTTTTTGAGACAGAGTTTTGCTCTTGTTACACAGGCTGGAGTGCAATGGCGCGATCTCGGCTCACCACAACCTCCACCTCCTGGGTTCAGGCAATTCTCCTGCCTCAGCCTCCTGAGTAGCTGGGACTACAGGCACACGCCACCATGCCCGGCTAATTTTTTGTAGTTTTAGTAGAGATGGGGTTTCACCGTGTTGACCAGGATGGTCTCGATCTCTTGACCTTGTGATCCACCCGCCTCGGCCTCCCAAAGTGCTGGGATTACAGGCGTGAGCCACCGCGCCCGGCCGTGTTTTTTAACATATATTCAATTCACTGAACTTTTACAACAGCGGGAGATGCACTGTTCCCAATTTATAAATGAGAAAGCTGAAGCTCAAAGAGCTCAAGTCACTTTCCTAAGGTCATAAAGACTGTCAGTGGTAGAGATGGAATTTGAATCTAAGTCTTCTCACCAATTGTTTGTGGCTCCTTCCACTAACCCATCACTGAGTTAAACTAGTGGCAGTAATAAAACACTTTTAAAGAACAAAACCTCAAAATTTTGTCACCCAGGCTGGAATGCAGTGATGCAATCATAGCTCACTGTAGCCTCTACCTCCTAGGCTCAATTGTTCCTCCCACCTTCCTAAGTAGCTGGGACTACAGTTGTGCACCACCATGACCAGCTAATTTTTGTATTATCTGTAGATAAGAGGTTTTGCCATGTTGCCCAGGCTGGTCTTGAACTCTGAGCTTAGATGATCTGTCTGCCTCAGCCTCCCAAAGTGCTGGGATTAAAGGAATGAATTACCATGCCCAGCTGAAATCTTCAAATGAAGAAGTTACTATAGCTAATTAATGGTTTACTGAAGAGCTATGGAATTTTACCATTTTCTCTAAATCAAGATAGATGAGGAAAGAAAACACTCCAATGAGGCATTTCTGTGACAAATTATCAGTCTTGGGTTTTACCATATACTGAAATCACAGCCAAGATGAGCCATGCAGTCCATTCAGGGAGGTACTTGATAAACACCAGAGCCATGAGGGCACTAATCATAATGAGATATGCCTGCTGGAGTCGAAGTGGACCTTTCCAGTGAATGGCAATCATTCCCACCACACCAAAATTCCAGATCAGGAGTGCAACAGTAATGTAGTCCACAGCAACGTTATAGGTTTTAAACACTTCCCTGAAAAAAAAGTTAAAAGGATTTTAAAAGATTTATGTACAATAATTTTCATCAAAACATTGTTTAGAATAATGTGATGGCTCCCAAACATTAAATATTCCTATCCCACCTTTATAGTTTTAACATAGCCTGTATCAACTGTGCTATTATTTATTTAACATTTTCTTTAAATTATTATTTTTTTGAGCTAGGGTCTCATTCTGTCACCCAGGCTGGAGTACAGTGGTGCAATCACGGCTCACTGCAGTCTTGACCTCTGGAGCTCAGGTGGTCCTTCCAGCTTGGCCTTCTATGTAGCCGGAACAACAGATGTGTGCCACCATGCCCAGCTAATTTTTTTTTTTTTTTGTAGAGATAGGGTTTCACCATGTTGCCCAGGTTGGTCTCAAATTCCTGGGTTCAAGCAATCTGCCCACCTCAGCTTCCCTAAGTGCTGGGATTACAAGAATGAGCCATAGCACCTGGCCAATTAATTCACCTTTTTCCCCTCAAGTTGAACAATTCACTTTTTCCCAAGCTGAACTTTTTTTTTTTTTTTTTAAACAGAAAGCTCTCTATCATTCATATAAATGGGAAACCAGTTTCACAGGCCATAACTATAAAAATAAGTACAAACAAATAAAAAGATCATATACCTAAAATGCCATACTTCGGGAAATATTAGTTTAAAATATCTGAAATTAGAAAAAAATTAAACATCTGCCAAAACATTTTATAGCTATGACATAAATTTCCATACAATGAGATTTAGCGCTCATTAAAAGTAGATATATGCAGGCTAGGCACAGTGGCTCACGCCTGTAATCCTAGCACTTTGGGAAGCCAAGGTGGGAGGTGGGAGCATCACTTGCGGCCAGGAATTCCAGACCACCCTGGGCAACACAGTGAGACTCTATGACTACAAAAAATTTTTTAAATTAGCTGGAGGTGATGGCACATGCCTGTAGTCCCAGCTACTCAGGAGGCTGGGCAGAAGGATAGTTTGAGCCTCAAAGTTGGAGGCTGTGTGAACCATGCTCACATTATTGCACTCCAGCTTGGGCAAGAGGGCAAGATCCTAACTCTAACATTTTTAAAAACTGCATATATATAATTTTAATATAATATACAATTTTAATATACAATTTAAAAAATACATACTTTATATATATATATGTGTGTATATATATATATATATATATGTATATATTTTGGCATTTCAAAGTAGGAGATAAATCATCTTTCTGGATAGTAACTGAAACCCAAAGTTTATGCTTAGATAAAGGCGTGCTTTCTTTCTCCTTCAAAGCGGGAGATAAATCATCATATATGTATATATATGTGTGTGTGTGTGTATACACACACACACGCACACACACATATATACACATACACACACGTTTTTAATACACACACATAAACATGGAGTATAGGCATAATACACTGTTGCTTGAAAAAAATAAAGGATCCTGTTTATGATCCCATTTACATAAAACTGTGAGAGAAGAGCAGTTAAGAAACTGATGATGACAGGACTTATCTTCAGGTGGTAGGAATCTGGTCATTTTTCTCCTATGTCTTTTTAAAAAAACAATGAATGTTTGGCATTTTTATAATGAAGAAAATGCATTTGAATTTTGGGGAGGAAAAATCCACCATCTAACAACAAAGAGACTGCAACTATAAAAGATGCCTGAGGTAACTGAGGAGAAAGAAAGCATGCTTTTAGGCGCAAACTTTTGAGTTTCAGGTACTAACCAAAAAGACGATTCCTCTCCCACTTTGAAATTCCAAAATAGAGTAAATGTTGAAATTTCTGGACAATGTAGATATTTATTTATATTAAGCATTTCAGGTATCCTCAAACTTAAAAAGAAACAACACACAACCTATTTATTAATCTTTGGCTAGGTAACACATGAATAAGATATAAAATTCACAACAGATACTGTGAAAAGTAGGTTTTCTCCCACTGTGTCTCACAGTTCCCCTCTCTAGCAGAAAGCAGTATTTTTTTTTTAGATGGGGTCTTGCTATGTTGCCCAGGCTGGCTTTGAACTCCTAGGCTCAAGCGATCCTCCCGTCCCCACCTCCAAAAATGTTGAGATTACAAGTGTGAGCCATGGCTGGCTGGAAAGCACTATTAATAATTTCATGTACATCCCTACAGAGACTCTATACATATCATACATACACTTTTCTATTTGACACAAACGATAGCATATTTTAATTCTTTCTTCTTTAAATAGAGACAAGTTCTCACTGTCACCCGGTGGCACAATCATACATCACTGCAGCCTCAAAGTCCTTGGCTCAAGTGATCCTCCTGCCTCAGCCACCCAAGCAGTTAGGACTACAGGTATGCACCACCAAGCCTGGCTAAGTTTTGCATTTTTTGTAGAGATGGAGGTTCACCATGTTGCCCAGGCTCATTTAGAACCCCTGGGCTCAAGGATCCTCCCACCTCAGCCTCCCAAATTGGTGGGATTACAAGTGTGAGCTACTACATCTAGACTTAAAATTTCTCAGTAATAGATCTTGCAAATTATCTTTTTTACTCCTCTACGCTGTCAGTTTATTCACTTAAAATACCAATTTTTCAGAAGCAGCAGCACTGTAGTAGAACAGGGACTGCTGGCCCTCAGCACCCATGCCTTCCCCTGCACAGCCTCCCCTGCACAGCCTGCACCAGGCTTGACAGAATTACCCTATGAATGCAGCGGGGCCCAGTACTATTGTTATTTGTGCAGGTGGGGGGGAAACGACTTCAGTAACTTTCTGTATTTCTTTTTTGCTCTGTTTAGATTTTCTCTCTTCAGGGGTCAGTTTGGATAATTTTTTTTCTAGAATGTCATCCATTTCATAGATTCTCACATTTGCTTCTTTTGTCTGTGGTTATTTCCCTTTATCCTCTACCAAAGAAATAACTCTGCAATTTATTAGTTTTACAGTCTCTTCAAATTTAAGAGCTAGTGCAATTGTTTACAAACTGTATTCTGCCACTTGAGCTGAGAAAAAGGCCAGGCTTTTCTCAGTCTGAGCTTCTCTGAGCTTCACTATTCTATTCTCTTTGACAGACCAGATCCACTTTTTTCTTTTTTTTCTTTGAGATGGAATCTCACTCTATCGCCCAGGCTGGAGTGCAGTGGTACGATCTTGGCTCACTGAAACCTCTGCCAGCAATTCTCCTGTCTCAGCCTCCTGAGTAGCTGGGATTACAGGCGCCTGCCACTGTGCCCGACTAATTTTTAGTAGAGACGGGTTTCACCATCTTTGCCTTGGCCAGCCTGATCTTGAACTTCTGACCTCGTGTGTGATCCACCAGCCTTGGCATTCCAAAGTGCTGGGATTATAGACGTGAGCCATCGCACCCAGCCCAGATACACTTTTTTCTATATTATACGTGAAAATTTCATTTAAGATTTCATTTGAAAGAAAAGAGCATCACTGATAAAAAACAATACAGATGCATGAAAATCAATTAATTCTTGTTTTTATACTTTTTTTTTTTTTTTTTAATATAGAGACGGGGTTTCACCATGTTGGTGAGGATGGTCTCAATCTCTTGACCATGTGATCCGCCTGCCTCAGCGTCCCAAAGTGCTGGGATTACAGGCATGAGCCACCGCGCCCTTTCTTAAAATTTTGATTCACAGACTTCTACTAGAAGAATATATAATCTTCAAAAAGGCTTAGAATTAACTGTAGACTTGAGTTCTTTCACTTCTACTTATTATAAGCAAGGAACAGAAGCATGTCTCAATTAGTAATACTGATTTATTGTTTATATACCACGTATGACCTATATTTGGAAACAAGAGTAATTCATCAACAAAGTACACGGCTTTAAGTGATAGCTATGGAGCACAAAGGCAGTTGATTTTAAAAGACCAAAAATTTCACGACTTACCCCAAGTAAATGAATGAAAAAAAGAACAGCAGCAATAGAGATGATATAATAAGCCAGGCATGGATAACCTAGAAAAGAAAGCATTTCAATATAATTAAATAACAGGTCCCACAACATTTTTTGGTTTGTTTTTGAGATGGAGACTCATTCTGTCGCCCAGGCTGGAGTGCAGTGGTGCAATCTCAGCTCACTGCAATCTCTGGCCTCCTGGGTTCAAGTGATTCTCCTGCCTCAGCCTCCCGAGTAGCTGGGACTACAGGCACACACCATCATGCCCAGCTAATTTTTTGTATTTTTAGTAGAGACGGGGTCTTGCCATGTTGCCCAGGCTAGTCTTGAACTGCTGAACTCAAGTGATCCACCAGCCTCAGGCTCCCCAAGTGCTGAGATGACAGACATGCACCACCATGTCGGGACCACATCTCTCTTTAAAACAACTTCATAAATAGTACAATTTGGGAAAGACCAACAGAATGGCTTAAGACATTGGTACTCCTTGGACGTTCGAGTATTCTAAATTAAGTTGACTATCCAAATACAATGTAGTTGTTTTTGGTATGCTTCCACAAAAATTTTCCAGCATTTTATTACAAAAATTTTCAAACACACAGCAAAATTTAGTAGTTTTTTTTACAATGTACACCCATATATCACCTAGAGTGTACCATTCATATTTTGCAGTACTTGGTTTATAAAATTTCTGTCTAGCTTCTTATCTATCAGTCTTTGTTCTTATTAATATATATCAAAGTAAACTGAAAAGCCAGGTGCGGTGGCTCACGCCTGTAATCCCAGCACTTTGGGAGGCCAACGTAGGTGGATCACAAGGTCAGGAGATCAAGACCATCCTGGCCAACATGGTGAAACCTGGTCTCTACTAAAATACAAAAATCAGCTGGGTGTGGTGGCGCCCAAATATGTTAATTTGTTATTTTCATATGCATTTATTTTATTACTGTAAAGAAAATATACACACACATTTAAACAGGCCTTTCTCATCTTGCAAAAATCCCTAGTTCAGCTTTCCTGTGCTAAAGGATGTGAAAGAAAAGAGCCCTGCTTTAGTACACAACAGTATCTTCTCTAAATCCTCAAGTGCCAAGGCCTGAAATCATCTGACTTTAGCAAGTTATAGTTCCTTTTATAATAACTTATGTATTAATAATTAACTGTCTTTTCTATTTCTAACATTTTAAGGTTTGGTCTTTTAGTTTCTAGGGCTTGTCACAGACATTGCATAACCAACCACTGATACGGGAAATCCTCAGGCAAGTTACTGAATCTCTGACTCAAAAGCTCCTTTACTTATACTGGGAGTCAAGCATAAACAACTTTTTTCTATAGAATTGTTTGTGCATGCTAAGATTTGAACATTTAAAAACATCACAACACAAATAAACAAGGAAATGTGGAAATCTGGCTGAATACAAATCTCTTAGACTGTCTAAAATGAAGGATGGGGCCGGACGTGATGGCTCAGGCCTGTAGTCCCAGCACTTTAGGAGGCCGAAGGCAGTGGATGACCTGAGGTCAGAAGTTCGAGACCAGCCTGGGCAACGTGGCAAAACTCCGTTTCTACTAAAAATGCAAAAATTAGCCAGGCATGGTGGCGCGTCCCTGTAATCCCAGATACTTGGGAAGCTGAAGCAGGAGAATCACTTGAACCCAGAAGGCGGAGGTTACAGCGAGCCAAGATCGTGCCACTGCACTCTAGCACTCCAGCCTGGGTGACAGACAGAGACTCTATCTCAAAAAATAATAATAATAAAATGAAGGATGGATAAAACACGGGCAAAACTGACAAAAATATATTAAGAAAGGTTCCAGATAAGATGAATAAACACATTCCACTCTCTGTCCCACTGAACACAGTTACAAAACCTGGGCAGAAAGCAGACAGTAGCTGGTTGCAAGCAATGGAAAGTAAAGAGAAGTAGGTGGGCTGGGGAATTAGAAGTACTAGCAGTTAGCAGACCATTTTTTCCCTCCACCTGTATTCCACACAACCTATGTGGGTATCAGCAAGACAATGGGAGCTCCACAAAACCTCCAGTTCTGGCTTGAGGATTTGGAAAGAGGTCTCCTAACACCCAGAGAGTGTAAAAATCCAGTTTTTCTTCTTTTCTCCATTCTCTTATGCCACGTCTTCACACAATCTTGTGGTGATGGGTGGCAATGTGGGTGGCAGAAGTCTAAAGTTCAGAGGGAGGGAATCCTTCCTCTCTGGAAGGATGTCAGTCCTGAAAGAGTGAGGCAAAGAGCCCTTCCTTTCTCTCTCTCCTCCCACATTTTGGGCCTGACTTTAGGAAAATAAAGTCCACTTTCTGGCTGGAAGAATGAAAAAGGGAAGCCCAAGAAACCACAGGGAGATCACAGAATGAGAGAAACTCAAGAAAGCAATCTCTTAAAGCTGTTTACAAACTTGTGGGTCCATTCCCCAGGTGAGCAAGTATGTACATGATCCTCAACAGTACACACTGACCCTGATGATCAAATTACAAATAGAACACCACTATACCAGTCTCAGACTCGTGACTGGGTGGCATTTACATGGGGCAGATCTGAGCAACACTGCAAAGGCTTTGAAAAATGAACTGATAATGTAACCGTAACTCACACAAGGCTGGCTGGACATAACCCAATCAGATCAATTGGCCAATAAAACAAAAATATTAACATCCTTGGAGCAAGAAGTAAGGGCAAAAACTGTTAAAATTAAAGGAAATTTTTTAAAGTCTCAGAAGAAAAAATGTAATGAAGGGCTAAATGGGAATTTTAGAACTAAAAATAAAATAACCAAAAACATTTCACTGAATAGGTTTAGTAACAGAAAGCAAATGGCAGGAAACTTGAAGACAGATCAATAGAAATTATCTAACTAGAACAACAGTGAAAACAAATTGGAAAATAAACAGAGCCTCAGAGACCTGTGGAACGATAAAAAGTTATTTGTGTCATCATTCCCAGAAGACAGTAAAGAGCCAGGCATGGGGGCTCACGTCTGTAATCTCAGCACTTTGGGAGGCTGAGGCAGGCAGATCACTTGAAGCCAGGAATTCAAGACCAGCCTGGCAAACACGGTGAAACCCTGTCTCTACTAAAAATACAAAAATTAGCTGGGAGTGGTGTCGCATGCCTATAATCCCAGGTACTTCGGAGGCTGAGGCTGCAGTGAGCCGAGATCATGCCAATCCACTCCAGCCTGGGTGACAAAGTGAAACTCAGTCTCAAAAAAAAAAAAAAAAAGCCAGACACCACGGTGGCTCACACCTGTAATCCCACCAGCACTTTGGGAGCCCCAGGCAGGCAGATCACTTAAGGCCAGGAGTTTGAGACCAGCCTGGTCAAAATGGTAAAACCCTGTCTCTACTAAAAATTAAAAAAAAAAAAAAAAAAAAAAAAAGCCAGGTATAGTGACAGGCACTATAATTCAAGCACGCTGGGAGGCTGAGGCAGAAGAATCGCTTGAACCAGGGAGGCAAAGGTTGCAGTGAGCCAAGATTGTGCCACTGTACTCCAGCGTGGGTGACAGAGCAAGATTCCATCTCAAAAAAAAAGAAGAAGAAGAGAGTAAAGAATGTGATACACAAAAATTTTGAAGAAATAATGATTGAAAAGTTTCCAAATTTGGTAAAAGACATAAACCTAGAGATTCAAAAAGCTCAGTGAACTCCAAATAGAATAACAAAAAAATCCTCACACAGCCCCATAATTAAACTACTGAAAAGAAAACTTTGAAAGTGACCCGAACAAAACAATGTATTACTTATAGAAGAACAGTAATTGGAATGACTAAGATTTTTATCAGAAACCACGGAGGCTAAAAGAAAGAACAGCATTTTTTAAATGCTGAAAAAAAGGAACAATCAAGACAATTTTATGCCCAGTAACAATATTCTTCAGTAATAAAGGTAAAATTAAAACATTCTAAGATGGGCCGGGCGCGGTGGCTCAAGCCTGTAATCCCAGCACTTTGGGAGGCCGAGGTGGGTGGATCACGAGGTCAAGAGATCGAGACCATCCTGGTCAACATGGTGAAACCCCGTCTCTACTAAAAATACAAAAAGTGAGCTGGGCATGGTGGTGCATGCCTGTAATCCCAGCTACTCAGGAGGGTGAGGAAGAATTGCCTGAACCCAGGAGGCGGAGGTTGCGGTGAGCCGAGATCGCGCCATTGCACTCCAGGCCTGGGTAACATGAGTGAAACTCCATCTCAAAAAAAAAAAAAAAAAAAAATTCTAAGATGAAGAAAAATTAAGAGAAATTGAGGCCAGATGACTTTCTCTAAAGAATTACTAAAGGGAGACGTTCAGAGAGAAGGCAAATAATACCAGAAGAAAACAGGTGGCCTGGAATGGTGGCTCACACCCGGGTGACAAAGCAAGACTCTTATCTCTAAAAAAATTAAAGGACCCCAGTGAAGCAGTCCTACTGATGACAATTAAATGGTACAAAAGATAATTCCTTCGATTTATGTGCTAGCAGGTATCCGAGTGGAAGTGATATGCAAAGGGGAACACAAACCAACCATGGGCCCTTTTGGGCTAAAAATATTGCATTAAAAGTTATATTTAAGGATGAAAATTTAAACCATAAGATTAAATATAATTTCCCAAGAAGTAACGGGAGAGACAAAAAAGTCCATCATCTGAGACTTACACCTAGTTAGCTTTAGGAAGCTGCAAAGAGGACCAAAGTAGGAAGAAAAGCAAAAGTCAGAATCAATGTCAAGCAGGAGGCAAGAAATAAGTCAAATGGAAATAACGTCCATAAAAATCAGGTTCAGAAAGGTCACCGGATTTGACCAAAGGAAAAACTGGTAACCACATGATAAGCAGTTTCCACGGAGGCATGACAAAAGAACTCACACTTCAGGCAGCTGAGCTGAAGACTGAATTTGAGAGGAATCTTACGAAATAGCTATGTGTGTTAATCCAGGTCAAACTCTGGACTCAAATGTCCATTCTGACCTATTAGGTTCTGACCCACACTAGCTGTGCGACTCCTGCCTCAGTTCGTCATCCATAAAACTGGGATAATAGTAGGGGCTACCTCAAAGAACTAGTGTTTAGATTAAATAAAACAAGGCAGATGTAAAGCTATACTTTCCTGTATATGTCACTGCTCAAGATTGGGAAAACCTACATATGCTTAAAAGCAGAGAAAAGAAGATGTAGTTTAGAGATGGTGCTTTCTCTTTTACATGTAAAAATATGGAAACAGAAAAATTAAATAATTTCCTAAGATTATGAGGAGAAAGAACTCTGAGTCCAGAGCTCCGTCTATCCAATTACACAGGTATTTTGTAAGGAAAAGGCAGGAAATCTGGATAAAATTCTAGATTATAAGAAAGAAAAGGTTGAATTCCACCCTCCAGTAAAATCTGAGAAACAGAAGAACAAAAGTATCACAGCGGGGCTGGGCGCGGGGGCTCACGCCTGTAATCCCAGCACTTTGGGAGGCTGAGGCAGGCAGATCACGAGGTCAAGATGGTGAAACCCCATCTCCATACACAAACAAAAAATGTATCACAGCATCCTGATAAAAGTCACAAGGACAGTCTACTAAAGCAGAGAAACTAAAGGCAAGTAAACAGACAAATACATATGGTGAAAAATGGGATAAAGGAAAGGAATTAAGAAACTAGCATTTTTAAAGTAGGGGAGGGGAATGCTACTCAACATGGATTTGTATCACTTGTTTTTTGGCCTTCTGAGTGTTGACAACAACCTGTCATCATCATACATATCTTTCATCTTTTATGGTCTCCACATACTAACACATGATACAGATGGTCATCACTTAACACTTCCACTCACTCAAATGTTCAACAAGCCAGGTTAAACTCTGTATAATTTTAAAGTTCACAAGCATTGAAAAGGTATGGGATACTACTAGTAATCAACTAAATGCAAATTAAGACATTTTTCTTTACCTATAAAAAGCAGCACAGAGTTAAAAAAAAAAAAAAATTCAGCACTGGTGGGGTATAACAGATACTCTCATTCACTACTGGTGTTAAGCACAAATTGATAAACTTTTTGAAAACAGGATTTTGTGTACAAAAAGAGTTATAAATATGTAGATAATTTGCCCCAGAAATTCTACATCTAGGATTTTACCCTAAGGAAATAATTTGAAAAACTGAAAAAGTTCTAGGCATAAAGATATTACTGTTTTTTAAAATAGTGAAACACCAAAAACAAACGTCCAACATCAGGGACATTTGAGAAGTAAATTACAACGTACTCGAGTCAAACATCACGTAGCCACATAAATATTTTCTAACAATTTATAACAGAAAAAATGCTTACGCCAAAGTAAAAGAAAGGACGCATAGTGATTATATATTTTAACCATGTTAGAAAAGTATACAGAAATAAACACTAGAAGGAAACAGAGCAGACTCCAACATTTGGAAAGTTAATTTTTTTTGGGGGGTGGGGGTAGAAATAGGTCTCACTATGTTGCCCAGGTTGGTCTCAAACTCCTGACCTCAGGCAATCCTTCTGCCTTGGCCTCCCAAAGTGCTGGGGTTATAGGCACAAGCCACCATTTATTATTTCTATTATTTGAAAATGACCTTAAAGGTCCATGACTTGTGATAATGTATAATTTTTTCTAAGGTATGAGTCTGAAACGTGCTAGCTGGCTGAAACTCGACAGTAAGTTACTTGGCAAGAAAGTGAGCTAGGGGAGGAGAGGCTAAGAAGGGTGGGTTTGTGTCTTTCCTGTATAACCTCCCAGCCCCCACTTCCCAAGGAATGAAGTAGTAGAGATGGTGAGGAGATGCATGATGACTACCAGTTTAGGCAAGGTATGACCAGTCACCAGTGAGTTTAACATCAGCATCTGCCGATGGCTTTATTGTTCTGTTCTCCAATATGAAAATCTGATTTTAGTTATACCATATTTGATAGGGACCATTATATCCTATAGTGTTATTTGTGAATGAGGGGATTCACAAAGGTCTTAGAGTATATTTCTTCAGTGTACTGTAAATCAAAATATTAAAACCACTTAGGACCAGGTGCAGTGGCTCATGCCTGTAATCCCAGCACTTTGGGAGGCCAAGGTGGGCAGATCACTTCAGGCCAGGAGTTCAAGACCAGCCTGGCCAACATGGTTAAACACCATCTCTACCAAAAATACAAAAATCAGTCAGGCATGGTGGCACATGCCTATAATCCCAGCTACTTGGGAGAAAGAGGCAGGAGAATTGCTTGAACCTGGAGGGTCCGGGCTGCATTGAGCCAAAATTGTGCCACTGCACTCCACTGCAGCCTGGGTAACAGGGCAAGACCCTGCCTCAAAAAACAAACAAATAAAAAACCACTTAGATTGTGCTACTATATGAAAATGTTTATTTTCCAGTTATGCCTTTTTGTGTTTTCTGGGTTTGTTTTTTGAGACAATGGTCTAAAAAGGCACTGAAATCCAAAATAATATGAACTATCACTAACTCTTAATATAAGAAATATAATAACTTGTATAAGTAATATAATAACTAATCATTATATACTTTATACTATTTTTTCATATAGATGCCATGAATATAAAATATAGATGACATATAGATGCCATGAATATAAAATACTTCCAGTACTTGTTTTTTTGTTTTCTTTTATAGAAAAAGGGTCTTGCTATGTTGCCCAAGCTGGTCTTGAACTCCTGGTCTCAAACGATCCTCCTGCCTCAGCCTCTGAGGCTGGCACATGTACCTGGCTTGCTTTCTGTATTTTTTGAATGTTCCACAGTGAGGAGGAAGAAAACTAAAAGTTAACTTAGCCCTAGAAGACAAAACCTTTTTCTTTCCTGGATCAGTTAAGGTACTGTGACAGGAATAACCACCATAAGAACAGGGTGAAAAGCAAAAATCTGTGTCTCATGCTCACCTTATAGCACCTGTATTTATAAAGAACCACCAGGAGAATAGTCATGACAACAATGACACTGATCATGATGGCAGCATTCAGAATTGAGTGCAGGGCTCTTTGGCCCACAGTCTCGGTATCTTCTGTGAATGGGGTATAGATTCTATAAGAAAACAAAACACAAAAGCCCTAGGTAAGTGTTAATGGAGATCCTCAACCACATTACTACCTCCAACACAGAATTTTATTTTTCTCAATTCAATTCATATCTTATAGGTCACTTCCCCCAACTCACCAATCTAGCTAAGAATTTTTAACCTGAGATAAACAGCTACACTCTAAAATGATTGCTTCAAAGAAAGTATCTAACATATGGAAAGAAGACCTTACATGTGAACCAGACAATGGCTCCATCTAGTGAGTGTTTTATATTGAAATAATTATAATACCTCATCAAATGTTCTTTCGCCACAGCTTATTAGGAACTTGTTAAAGAACCAGATTCTGCCACAAAAACCGCATTGGCTGACGAGTGGTTGTGAAAAGGTAATATGGCTTATAATTAGTGCCCCTCATCTGTAAAGTAATTTCAACTGGAGTTTTCTTAAGATAATGTGACATGGCCAGGCACGGTGGCTCAAGCCTGTAATCCCAGCACTTTGGGAGGCCGAGGCGGGTGGATCACAAGGTCAAGAGATCGAGACCATCCTGGTCAACATGGTGAAACCCCGTCTCTACTAAAAATAGAAAAAATTAGCTGGGCATGGTGGTGCGTGCCTGTAATCCCAGCTACTCAGGAGGCTGAGGCAGGAGAATTGCCTGAACCCAGGAGGCGGAAGTTGCGGTGAGCCGAGATCGCGCCATTGCACTCTAGCCTGGGTAACAAGAGTGAAACTCCATCTCAAAAAAAACAAAAAAAAGAAAAAAAAGATAATGTGACATATCCATCTTCCCCTTGTTTCTCATTCACAGAAAAACATTTTTATTCCCAGCAAAAAAGACTATTTCTTACTCCTTTATATTTATGGATGGCTATGAGAGTAAGTAATGGCAATGACTTTTAGGGAGATGTGCTGTGTATTGAACTTCCAAGAAAGGAGTGAATTCTGCTGACATGTCCTATGTTCTTTTTCTCCCCCACTCCTTCCTACTGTCAGAATGCAGGCTAGGCTCCAGCCTGGACCCTGAAGTAACCTAGACGTTAGAAGCTAAAGAAGAAAGGAGACTGAGTCCTTGATGAATATAAAGCCAGTGTACTAATCTGGACTGCCTACATCTGTACTACTCTATGAGAGAGAAAGTATGTGCATTATTTAAACCAGTTATTTGGATTTTCTATAACAAGGTCAGAAAAATTTCTGTAAAGAGCCAGATAGTGAATTTTTTTTTTTTTTTTGAGATGGAGTCTCACTCTGTTGGCAGGCTGGAATGCAGTGGGGTGATTTCAGCTCACTGCAATCTGTACCTCCCAGGTTCAAGCAATTCTCCTGCCTCAGCCTCCCCAGCAGCTGGGACTACAAGCGCACGCCACCACACCAAGCTAATTTTTGTATTTTTAGTAGAGATGGGGTTTCACCATGTGTTGACCAGGATGGTCTTGATCACTTGACCTTGTGATCTGTCCGCCTCGGCCTCCTACAGTGCTGGAATTACAGGCATGAGCCACCGCAACCGGGCCACATAGTGAATATTTAAAGCTCTGTGGGTCATATGGTCTCCATTGCAAGCACTCAACTGTGCCATTGTAGTGTGAAGCAGCCACAGACGATGTATAAGCCAAGGAGCATGGTCATGTTCCAATGAAAGTTTATTCACAAGTTTGTGAACAACTTTGTTACTACACCTTTGCGGAAAGGTAGCTGGCAGATCTGGCCTGTGGCTGTAGCTTGCCAATGTTTATTCTATAATACGTTGCCAAACCTAACCCTAACCTATACGAATAATATTCTTCAATCCCTGCAGCTTGATCCCTACCCTTCACCTGCTGTCTTAGATGTTCTCCCAAAACACTAAAAGTTTGGCTTTCAGAACACCATGTAGTTTTTCAGACACTTCACAATTTCAAATTCTAAAACTCTTCTTGGGGGCTGGGCGCGGCGGCTCACGCCTATAATCCCAGCACTTTGGGAGGCCAAGGCAGGTAGATCAAGAGGTCAGGAGTTCAAGACCAGCATAGTAAAACCCCATCACTACTTAAAAAAAAAAAAAAAAAAAAAAATTAGCCAGGTGGGGTGGCGGACACCTTTAATCCCAGATACTCAGAAGGCTGAGCAGAGAATTGCTTGCACCCAAGAGACGGAGAAGTTGCAGTGAGCCAAGATCATGCCACTGCACTCCAGCCTGGGTGACAGAGCGAGACTCCATCTCAAAAAAACAAACTCTTCTTTGGGCCCCATGAGAGCCCTAGAGATGGAACTGGATGACATCTGAATGGAAGCATTTTTCTTGGAGGCCAAGGGCTGACAGCAGCACCAGGGAATCCATATGACAGCACCCCAAGAGTCTAGTTATTTATCCTTTCAATTAATGATTTTTTGGCCATTTATTATATACCTCACCCTAGAGACACAGTACCCTCACAGACCTTGCAAAAAAGAAGAAAATCAGGCATTAAGTAATGTAAATAAATATATATTTGTAAATTGTGACAAATGAGGAAGGACAAGTTGCTATGAGAAAGAATACCAGGAAGGACCTAATCATGTTAGGAGAAACAAGAATGTTATCTTTGAGGATTTAACATTTAAGCCAAGAGGAGGGGGATGACAGGAATTTAATCCACCAAAGTTAGAAAAGGAAAGAATATTCTGGTGGTGCAGGGGAAAGAAAAAAAAAATATTCTAGGCAGAAGAGCAACGGGCCCAATGGCCCCAAGAGGGGTAAGAATTTCTATGTTCAATTCAGCATAACTTCAGCTCTATCCAGTAATACCATATAGGAAACATACCTCTGCAGTGTTCCTTTTTACCACTTAAAACATCAAGTAATAACCCCTTGCTCTCTCAACTGCTCCTGATCATCAGAAAGGATGGACTCTCTAGCCATCATGCCCCTTCAATGCAGAGGCATTCAAGGTGATAATAACATCCTGTAAAGAAAAGTCACACTGGCTTTGAGAATAATAAAACAAAACTCATACGTACAGCTGCCCATCCTTCCGGGTATAAAAGCTGACTGATTTGATGGTAGCCACTACCACCACCATGCAGAGAGTCACAGGGACAAAGAGCATGATCACATGCTTGGCGCCATATTTCAATGTCAGCTCCTCGTCTTCTTCCTCATCTTGTTCCACCACCTGCCTCGAGTTACCCTGGGGTCGTCCATTAGATAACGGCTCAGGGTGGCCAACTCTCCGCCTGTCATTGTGCTCCTGCCGTTCTCTGTTGTCATTCTATAAGCACAAGAAAAACTTTTTCAGTAAATCAGACTCTCAGCAAAATCAAGGTAATAGTAAGACCCGGGATTAACAATAGGCCTATCACTGCATGAGTTCTAAAAACCTGATGCAAGAAAAAAACAATTTA